TTCATATTGATCTGCTGGAGACCGTGCTATTTATCCTTCCTCACCTCCCCTTTCTTAATTACCCATCTTCCACTTTATGAGAGAAAAACAAATCTCTCCCTCAGCCAAATGTTAGTTACTGTGGAGCATTGTCCTGGGGTATAAAAATCTTCAGGGTGCCAAAGAAAGGAACAATTTGAAATACTGATGTTGATTTTTGAGAAAGCAAAGGATTCTAAGGAAAGGGAAAAAATCCTTTAGTAGATCATGTGGTAACAATTTTTTTGTTTCAACAAAACTGAAGGAAGACCTAAAGGAAATAACCAGCTGACAGATGATTAGAAGCAATTCTTTTTTTTAAAAAAAAAAAAAAACAAATTGGTGTTGCTTTATTCTATTTTAAAATATATGTGTTGATTTCAGAGAGGAAGAAAAAGGAAGAGAGGGATAGAAACACAATGATGAGAGAGAGTCATCGATCAGCTGCCTCCTGCACGCCCCCACTGCAGATCAAGCCTGCAACCTGACATATGTCCTGATCAGGAACCTAACTGTGACCTCCTGGTTCATAGGTCAATGCTCAACCACTGAGCCATGCCGGCTGGGTGAAGCAATTCTTGACAATAGGGCACGGGGTGATTTCTAGCATCTAATGTAGAAGATTTACAAGAACTGGTAATAAGGATATAATTATTTTATCTGTATATACTTACTTATATATGAATAATTTTTCATGGTACATCTATACAAATCAAAAATAGCAACAGAATTAATGTTAGACCTTTTTTAATTCTTGCAACAAGGAATACCCATCCATAGATACATTTAAAAAACACATCATTCTTTTAAAGATGTGCTTCAAGATTATTTTTATTTTATATCTAATATGTATGCATTATAATTTACAATATATTAATTTATTTTGATATATTTTGTTATATGAGTAAGACCTTTGAAAATAACTGAATCCAGACGAAAATGTTCAATATTTACAACTTTAGGTCACATTACATTTAAAAGAAGAGTTAAATTTATATAGGGTTATGAGCCAGCTTCAAATACCCCACTGCTAGTTGGCGCAGTGAACGTCACAGTGATTTGACATACGAGTAATTTGAGTTATGAGCTTCGTCACGGAACGAATTAAACTCGTACATCAAGGCCCCACTGTAATTTACAATATATTAATTTGTTTTGATATATTTTGTTATATCAGTAAGACCTTTGAAAATAACTGAATCCAGAAGAAAATGTTCAATATTTACAACTTTAGAGTCACATTACATTTAAAAGAAGAGGTAAATTTACATAGGAAAAGGGGAAAGATGTTAAATTTCTGATCATTAAAACAAAAATATTTTGATTTTTTAAAAATATGTTTAAAATTTGTATTGATTTCAAAAAGGAAGAGAGAGGGAGAGAGGGATAGAAACATCAATGATGAGAGAGAGTCATCGATCAGCTGCCTCCTACACGCCCCTTACTGAGGATCAAGCCTGGAAACCCAGGCATATGCCCTGACCAGGAACTGAACTGTGACCTCCTGGATATTTAAAATTCCATGAAAAACTTATACAAGAATATTTTTTATCTTAAAATATCATCATAAGGCCCAGCGGCTGTAGCACAGTGGTTGAGTGTAGACCTATGAATCAGGAGGTCATGGTTAGATTCCTGGTCAGGGCACATGCCCAGGTTGCAGGCTCAATGTTTTCTTGAAAATATGTAAGGACTGCATGCTGTTTAAAAATTATTATGAGTTCTGTAAACAAAAATCCTTGGTGAAAGGATTAAGCTGTAACAGTCCAGTGATAGCCAGAAGGAAAGGGGGCTGAAGGAGGTGGAAGAGGGCATTTGAAACCTGTATGGTTCCGTTAAACAATGTCACCTAATAAACTCAATTTAAAAATGTTTGAAAAATACAGGGTCAATAAAAGTATATATGAGGGTATTGGAAAAGTTTCTGTTTTGCTCATGAGTTACCAAGACTCAAAAGTCAATCACTTAGAAGACCATTTTTGAGTGGAGCATTGTCTAGCCAGGAGTTGAAAGGCAAATATTTAAAATGCAAACATCCAGGGTTATGTAACACCCTAAGATTTCATTAGTTGCTTACCACAACTGAAACTTTAAATTAATGACTCACTTGTTTTAAGTCTCAGATTCCACATCTGTAAAATGGAAAGCAAGTACTTGCCATACCATTTTTCTCAGGGCTGTTGAAGATGATAGATAGATCGAAGATAGATAGATAGAGATATAGATATAATATAGATACTCAATGAAAGTTCTGT